TAGCGACATTATTCTCCGATTTTTTCTAAGTTTCGCATTTGAATATTGTATGACAAAAGTTACCTATGCAGGTCCATGTCGTCGTATAGATATTCGGTATTTTGATGATTTTAGCGACATTATTCTCCGATTTTTTCTAAGTTTCGCATTTGAATATTGTATCACAAAAGTTACCTATGCAGGTCCATGTCGTCGTATTGACCCTAATATAACAGCTACATTCGGTTTTTTTAAGATTTTAACAGAATTTTTAACGGATTTCATTTTTTTTGAAAATTGCCAAATTCTTTTCAAATGGTGGAGGGTATTTAGAGTTCGGACAGACCGAATTTACAGCTTTTTTACTTGTTTTACTATTTTTTGCAGATTTTAAAGTTGCTATTAGTCTCCTTAAATTTGTGCAAGTCATTAGGTATTATTAACAAAATTATTTTTCCATTTTTTTTCAGATTTTTTTTTTGCTTCCCAAATGACCAACCAAAAACCCAAATTCCTCAAAATTGCTTTGACAACAATGTAATTTTTTTGTTATAAAAATTACATTAAAAATTCATAAACTTTCTTAAAAATACATTAGCAAATGCTAAAGAGAACACCTGTTAAGATAGGAATCCAACAAAAAAAAAAAAAGAAAAAAAAAAAACGCTGACCTAAGTTGTTAGCATACCTGCCAGGTTCATTAGCCATTGTTGGGAGCAGAAGTGAACAAGTAAAGCATACTTTTAGGTTCATTGAATTGACGTTAAAAACACAGACCAAACAGCTGTTAGACACTTGGTCGTTTTTTTTGCATTTCCCATAAACATACTACCCTCTCCCTCTCTCTTCTTCACCTACAGAAGAATTCTTCTTCTTCTTCTTCAAAAAAAAAAAAAAGAAATTGAAAGCCAACAGTGTAAATTAGATGCTGCCACGGAAAGGAAGCCTGGATGGTTTCTTCCTTTCAAACAACTGCTACACAAATGACTTGCCGTTGTTTGTTTAGAATTTGTTGTTGTTGTGTTCTTTTTTCCCCACAAAACGCGAAGCAAGTCTATAAACATATATTTAATGGTCTTAAAATTTGCCACAGACATCAGTTGGCTGCAAGTGTGGCCTGTCTTGGCGGTTGCTGTGTGCGGTGTGCGTTGGTCTTAACATTTATTGACAATTTAATCTAATTGCTTACCAACCACAACATTCTCTCTCCACCGCATGCAGATACCTGCCACATGAAGTCACGAAGAAATTGGCACTTAGCAGATGGATATATCAAACCTGTGTGGAAACGTAGATAATTGAAATTTTTAAATAATAAATAAAGTGTATTTTAGAGATAAAATTGGAAATGTGGAAAAAAGTACTATCTGACCGGTAATTTTAAAATATATTTCTCAAGGACAAAACATAGATATGTTTTCAAGGATCAAAAGTGGATTTTCAACAATATTTTTAGAGGAATATTTTTTTAAAAATCAAGCGTAAGTTTGTGGATTTTTTGTCTCACAGACAAAACGTAGATTTTCAAGGAATTTGGAAAATTGAGTCAAATTTCATTTTAGTATTTTCCTCTTAGCGTTAACCTTCTTATTTGTTAATATTGCTCCCCCAAATTGCACATTAATCTATTGCATTCTTAATTAAGAATCAAATTTCAAAGCATTTTATGAAATACCAGAGTATTCGCATCACATCACCTGTCCTGTTGTGAGCTTTTACGAATGACCAACACTTGTACGAATATCCGTTCGTAATCTGTTTAAAGGTCAAATAGGAATTTATATTATATTTTATATTTTTTCAAGGACTAAACGTGGATTTTATGATCATTTTTTTGGGACCCCATTTCGATTTTTAAAAATTTATTTCAAGAAGCAAATGTTAATTTTGTAAAATATTTTTTCAAGGAGCAACAGTGGATTTTTTAAAATGTTTTTGTTTCAATGCTTGAAAGATTATTTTGTTTTTTTTTTACCAAATTGTTGCGGCAAATTTATCAAGGACCCAAATTGGACTTTTTAGGACATTCTGCCAAGGACCAAATCCAGACGTTTTAAAATATATTTTTCAGGGACATGAATTGTTAAGAATATTTTTTTAAAGATTAAATCAGGATTTTTTACGAAAAAAAAGCTGTAAAGGACCCAAAGCGGATTTTTAGACCTCTTTATCCAGGACCAAACGTGAATTTTTAGAACATTCTTTTAAAGATTGTATCTACATTTTTAGGAATATTTTTTAAGGACCAAACCTGGAATTTTGAGATATTTTTTTTAATATTGTTTCAAGTACCAATATTGTTTTAAGCACTTTTTCAAGGAAAAAACGTGGATTTTTGATATTTACTGTTCTGTTCTATTTATTTTTCAAGGGAGTTTAAAAATACTTTTTCGCTGACCAAAAGTTGGTTTAATAGAATATTTTCTAACGACTGAATGACAATTTTTAGAAGGTTTTTAAGTAAAATGTGTGAAATTTCATGAATACTTTTTGCAAGACCAAGCTTGGTTTGAAAGAGCAAACGTGGATTTTTAAGAATATCTTGGCAGGACCAAACGTATATTATAAAGCAATTCAACAAGCCACAGAGGCCTAGTCGTGAATTATTTAGAAAATTGTTTCGACGATCCACAGAGTTCTTATTTTCTAAAAATCTACAAAAGCAACAACAGAACCTCAAACCTTTACATAAGGAACGAACGGGAAAACAAATTGTTCGTTCAACCTCCCCATATTTCCAAATGACAATTTTTCTACCCTCAGCGTATGGCTACAGAGGTTATATGTCATTGGATATGAGCAAAACGTGCCTCATTGAAATAACTGCTCTAGAACCTAGGTCTCTTTGGATCAAATCCGTTTCAGGACATTTGGAATCGATCTAGCAATGTCCTTCTGTGCGAAAACGGACAATATCGGTCCACTCCATCAAGTACTTCCCCCACAATGGGTCAACAATTTGAATAATTACAACTCTTATAAAATGTGATGAAAGAGTCCGATTGTCTTCAAATTTAACACATCCCAATAATTTTATTAGCCCAAAAAATTTTTTTCGCACAGAAAGGGAGCAATGGTCTAATTTTGTTATAACTTTGCAAATCCTAATATTTGCGTAAGTTCTATTTTAGGTGCAAAAATGGATAATATCTGTCCACACCATCAATTGCCTCTCCCACAAAACGTCAAAATTTTTAATAATTATAACTCTTATGATGATATAAGAGCCCTATTATTTTGAAATTACACACATCCCAATATTTTTATTAATCCAAGATCTGGTATGAAGATGGAATATATCGGTCCTCTACTTGTGATACCTCCCCGCAAAGGGTCAAAATTTTTAATAACCAAAACGATTATAATATCCGAAATAAGCATCTGGTTCTCTTCATATTTCACACATCCCATTATTTTTACTTACACAAGATCTGCCGTGAAGGTGGGATATGCCGGTTGACTCCTTCTGGTACCTCCCCCACAAAGGGCCAGAATTTTTAATATCCATAAAGTTCGTAAAACGCGACTTCAACATCCGATTCCTTTACACTTATCATATCTCAATATTTCTATCAACACAAGATATGTTACAAAGATGGAAGAGATCGAACCATTCCTTCTGGTACGTATCCCACAAAGGGTCAAAATTTTGAATAACCAAGTCGATTATAATATCCGAAATAATCATTCGGTTCTCTTCATATTTCACACATCCCATTATTTATACTAACGCAAGATCTGCTGTGAAGATGGAATATATCGTTTCACTCCTTCTGGTACCTGCCCCACAAAGGGTCAGAATTTCGAATGTCCATGAAGCTCATAAATTGCGAACCATTCCAGACTTGGTACACCTTGGTACACAACACGAGATCTGTTAAAAATATGGTAGAGATCGGATAATTTCTTCTGGTACCTCACCCACATAGGGTTCAAGATTTTGAAGAACAAAACGCTGAAAGAAAACGAAATTAGCATCCAACTCTCTTCACATTTCACACACCCAAATATTTTTGCTAAGGCAAGATCTGTGTGGCGGAGACGATATACATCTGCCAAGCCCTTTTGGTACCTCACACATAAAGGGTCAAAATTAACATTACTTTTATCTGTCACACATTTCGAAACTAGTCAGCGATTCTTTACTAAATATTTATCTCAACCAGAAACCTGATGTGAATATGGAATTTATGATTTCGCATAAAATTGTATATAAATGTTCGATTAGATGAAGAATAAAAATTGAATACTACGGTCGACTATATCTGGTACCTCATATTCAATCTACTATAGACGAAAATTTTTGGTATTTTGAGGAATTTCCTTGTACATTCTTACTCGTAGCTTAGTCATGCAATTCACATTTAAACATTCCCTTACGTTTAGCTCTCAGAAAAAAAAACAGTAATTTCGGCCGAGTACCTTTTTGAGTACCTCCCGCATTTGGAAGGATTATGGAAATTAAAAAAAAAACTCGTTGAAAAATATCATATAAATACCGTAGAAAACCTGTATCGAAGACCTGGACCTGCATATGCAATTTTCTGCCACAGGCTTTTGTATCGGTTGTGAACTGCAAAGACGAAATTTGAAAGAATTCCGGTGAATATTGTCGCAAAATTCATCAAAATACCAAATATAGAGATGTGCCATTATATGGGGGGCTACACCAACAAGTGGACTTATATAGCTCATTTTTAATGCCAAAAGTCCTGCAGACCAACCACACATCTAAATAAATGTTATCAACCTACTTCAAATCTTTTGGAAGATAGACGGATTTCCACAGACGGACAGACGGACGGACATAGAATTTTATGTTGATCAAGAATATATATATAAACTTTGTACGGTCTAAAGTGTATATTTCGGGGTGTTACAAATGAAATAACAAACCTAATATACCCTCCATACTACGGTGGAGAGTATTACAAAAAAAAAATCTGAAATCCAAAACAAAAACAAGCCAACTCATTACATACTTATTACAACAATTTTTTCTTTCTTTGCATTCTTTCCAGCAATTCATCGGCATCATCAGTGGAACGTTCCTATAGTGGAGCAACAACCGCGACAATAGGTGGCGGCAGTGGTCTCAATGGTAACAGTCATCACAGCACCGTCTACAGTGGCCCATATTCGACAGGAACGGCCACTCGCTCCTATGATCTCTACAGTGCCGAATGGGATGTTAATCGAGAGAAGCGTAATCAACGCAATTTTGGCAGCATGGCTGCTGCCCAGGTGGTCTGTCTGTGTCCGTTGATGATTTTACGTTTTGCCCGACTCTCTATGGAGGAGACGTACGAAAATCAAAAACATTTTGACTTTACCTATTTGATGTTTGTTTGGATTGCCTTTTTGCCGACCGTCATCTTTCCGTGCATTTATGCCTCACAAATATTGCCAAGGTAAGTGAAGATGAAGGAGAAAAAAGATCTAAAAATAGAAATGGAGGGGAAATTAAAAATAGATATAATTAATATTTATTGTTTAGACGTGGATATTGTGGGTCAATGGCAAAGTTTAGTAATTGAAATTTATTGAAATATTTAAGGGAATTGCCAGAAATGAAGGGGAATGAAAATATATTTTGGAGCACTGCTCATCCTAATTTTATTTGGCAATTTCATTAAATTTACATAAGATTCAGGGTTTTTTCCAAAGTATAAGGTCCATATGACAATTCGAAAATTAAGGCAAAAGATCATAACTGTAAGGACCCTTGAAAATTTTTCCTACAAAAATGCCTAAAAAATTCATTACTTTTGAAGTGCTTTACAACAATTCTTGACAAGTAAAAATGATATTCCTCATAATCCTCTTAAAAACGGAACTGTAATATTTTGAGAGTCCTTCGTAAAAATTCTTAAAAATATATACAGAGTGGCTCTAGTAGAGCTTTAAGAAAATCACAATTATTTATTAATGACCCTTGAAAAATGCCCTATTTGCCCTTTAAAAATATTCTAAAAAAACCATGACTATCCCTTGAGCAATGTTCTTAAAAAATCCGGAATCATAGCTCTATTAACAAGTGTCAGCTAAAACCATTTCTAGACACTAACAGTTATCCAAATATAAAAGTTCACGGATTCAGCTCCATCCCTTCACCCAATACCAAATATAGCAACATTCAGTGATTTTTATCATTTTTATACCCTACACCACAAGGTGGTCAGGGTGTTATGTCTTTGTGCATTTGTTTGTAACATGAAGAAGGAGGCGAGATAGACCCATAGTTACTTTTGAGGATCTCCATAGAATCACTTTCTGAGTTGATTTATGCAAGTCGGTCAGTCCGTCTGTCCATGTATTCTTGCGAACAAAATGCAGGTCGCATTTATTATCCGATTGAGATGAAATTTTCCAAACAACATTTGTTTGGCCCAAGGACGAACCCTATTGAAATTGGAGATAATCGGTCAAAATTTAGATATAGCTCCCATATATATCTTCGTTCGATTTGCATTTTATTGTGCACCAAACGTGTAATATCAGCCCGAATAATATGAAATTTTACACATACAACCAAATTGAGCCTGAAAATAAGTATGCCAAATTTGATCGAAATCGGTTCAGATATAGCTATAGCTCCCATATATATTGTTCATCCGATTTGTTATTTTTGTCCTCCGCAGCCGTAATATGCACTCTGTAACAACAATATTTGGGGAAATATATCAAATACAGCTCAGAAATACCTTTACTAAATTTTATCGAGATCGGTTCAGATTTAGATATAGCTCCCATATATCACTTCGTCCGATTTATCTTTATTGTACACCAAACGTCTAATATTTGCCCAAATGAGATGGAATTTGGCACATACGACCGAATTGAGTCTAGAAGGTAATGAGCCAAATTTGGTGAAGATCGGTTCAGATATAGCTATAGCTCCCATATATATTGTTCATCCGATTTGTTATTTTTGTCCTCCGCAGCCGTAATATGCACTCTGTAACAACAATATTTGGGGAAATATATCAAATACAGCTCAGAAATACCTTTGCTAAATTTTATCGAGATCGGTTCAGATTTGGATATAGCTCCCATATATATCTTTATCCGATTTCAAATTAATTGTGCACCAAATGGACAATACAAGTCCAAATTTGAAAGATGCAAATGCTTTGGCATATTTAGTCCTTTGAATTATAATTATAATCATAGGGTGTATGACTGAATTCTCTAATAAAAACCCTTGATTGTTATGTGGAGCTCAACTAAATTAGCAAAGTGGTGTAGGGTATCATAAAATCGGCCCCGCCCGACTTTAGGACTTTCTTTACTGTTTTTTTATCTCAATTCCAGACTAACAGAGATCTCAATTCCAAATATGATTTCACAGTTGGAAATTTATACCAAATTTCAGGATTTCGGCTCTACTCCTTCAGCCAAAACTAAATATTGTACTATGTAAAACTTTTCGTATAAATACAGGGTGAGATAAAAAAAAAAACTGCAACAAAGTTAAACGCCATAATTTTTAATTTATTTTCTAAATTTTATTGAATGAAAGCTAAAAATTTCGGAAATAGCATCAACTTTTAGAATGAGTTTAGATTTGTTCGTATTGGTCACCTTTGCCCGAATGTTGCTCTGCGGTATTTTGGCCCAATCCCGGCGAAGCGATTGCTTAAGTTGATCGACACTTGGGTTTTTTTTTTAGTGCCAACCTTGCCTGGAAATTAAGCGAGGAACGTCATTTTGTAACCATTCTTGGGTGGCGGGTGCTGAGTCCTGTTGGAAAGTCCAAGGTCTGCGGCCAAAATGTTTGCGTTTTTGTTTCTAGGAGTTTTTAATACACCCTCCAGAATAGTATCGCGATAATATTCGTCACTTATTCTGATGCCACGGTCGATTAATGAGAGCGAAGAGAGACCATCGGCTGTTATGGAGGCCCACACCATTACCATGGCCGGCGCTTGAGTTCTGGTGGCCAACAGAAGATGCACATTTTCAGCTGACCTCTTTGGCAAGTAAACACGATCATTTTGTTTGTTTACAAACTGCTGGACAACGAATGTTTTCTCATCGGAGCGGAGAAAACCAAATTCGTCAGTTCACCACTTTCGACCAAGCGAAGCAACTCTTTAGCTCTTTTGAGCCTGTTGCGGTATAAGTTCTTGCTCTTTTTGGAATTTCGATGGCTTCACCCTGAACTCATTTTTAAATATTTGCCGAATGGAATATTGCGATATGTTCAGCTCACGAGCCATTTTTCGGCCACTGCGACGCGGGTTTCGATCAAGTCGTTTCTTTACTTTTCGAACCATTTCTGCTGATTTTGCTGTTTTCTTACGTCCACTTCCTTGACGTCGGGTAACGGTAACGAGCAATGTACGAGACACAAAAGATTTATTCACATTTAAATGCTGGAGTGCTCTGACGATAGCCAGCGAAATATAAAGAAATAACGCTTGAATTCCATCACGAATAACTTTTGTACGTTTATAAACAATATAATGAGCTGTAATTGGTAAAATTTTAACAGCTGTCGGCCGAGTGGCTTGGAAATAACAGCAGTCTGAAGTTAGACCATCATAGGCCATCAGAGCAACAAATAACAATACTAAACCTGGATTTTTAAATTTTTTATTTTATGGACCAACGTGGATTTTTAAGAATATTCTTAAGGACTTGCAGAAGCCAATACTTAAATTAAAAAAAAATATATTTTTTAAGGACTTGCAGAGGCCCATATTTCTTTCTGGGACAAACGAGGATTTTTAAAAATATTTTTAAAAAACCAGGATTATTGCTCTATTGACCCATAAAAATATCCTTTAAAAAATCGAGATTATAACTCTTGAAAAAATTCTTAAAAAATCCAGACTATGACTCTTATAGGCCTTGAACAACATTCTTTCAAAATCCAAGATTATAACTCTATTGACCCTTGAAAAATATTCCTTAAAAAAACACAATTATGGTTTTATGGTTTATTCAAAAATAGTCTTTAAAAAAATACAGGATTATTGTTTTTTTTTTGGTCCTTGAAAAATATTCTTTAAAAAATCAACGATTATGGTTTTATTGATCCTTGATAAATATTCTTAAAAAATAGGATTATGACTCTGTGAGCCCTAAGAAAGAAATCTATAAAAAGTTCCTGATAATGTCCTTTAAATAATCCAGAGTTATGACTTTGTTAATCCCAAAAAAAAAAAATCTTATAAAGTCACTGCAAATATTTTTTAAAAAATCCACGATTGGCATTGAAAAATAATTTTTAAAAAATCCACGATTGGCATTGAAAAATAATTTTTAAAAAATCCACGATTGGCATTGAAAAATAATTTTTAAAAAATCCACGATTGGCATTGAAAAATAATTTTTAAAAAATCCACGATTGGCATTGAAAAATAATTTTTAAAAATCCACGATTGGCATTGAAAAATAATTTTTAAAAATCCACGATTGGCATTGAAAAATAATTTTAAAAAATCCACGATTGGCATTGAAAAATAATTTTTAAAAAATCCACGATTGGCATTGAAAAATAATTTTTAAAAAATCCACGATTGGCATTGAAAAATAATTTTTAAAAAATCCACGATTGGCATTGAAAAATAATTTTTAAAAAATCCACGATTGGCATTGAAAAATAATTTTTAAAAAATCCACGATTGGCATTGAAAAATAATTTTTAAAAAATCCACGATTGGCATTGAAAAATAATTTTTAAAAAATCCACGATTGGCATTGAAAAATAATTTTTAAAAAATCCACGATTGGCATTGAAAAATAATTTTTAAAAAATCCACGATTGGCATTGAAAAATAATTTTTAAAAAATCCACGATTGGCATTGAAAAATAATTTTTAAAAAATCCACGATTGGCATTGAAAAATAATTTTTAAAAAATCCACGATTAAAGCTCTAGTGGACCTTGAAATTTATTCTTAAAAAATCCTCGATTTTAACACCATTGGTTGGTTAACACTACTGGCTGTTGAAATATATTATATATTGTTTGTCTTAATTTTTAATAAATATAAAACCTTATTTGTTTATTGTTTAAAAATATTTCTTATTTTTCCTTTCCAAATCTCTACCTTAATTCTAACTTTCTTTGTTTAATTTCCTCCAAATATCTCATCCCTGTTGCTTTGTCCGTTTTATGATATTCCATAAAAAATTGCAATAAAAAAAACGAAATTAGAAAAATAAACTAAAACTACTTTACCATTGTCCGATCTCTGACGACGACAAAAACGAAATTGGTCCTAGCTATTCAAACTAAGACTCCGATAAGGTAAAGCAAGTTGTCAGTTTTAGTTTAAGCTCTGCTAGGTTACGATTAACTTTATGGCTTTTCAAGAAATAAAAAAGCCTGTGGCGACAAGCTCCTTTGTAATTTTTGTATCTCTTCGCCTACACCCCCCCCCCCCAACTCCTTGCAAAGAGATAATAAAATCAAGAGAATATTAAGCATAAACTAAACTGATGTTTGTTTTCTTGTCTTTCGTTTCTTTTCTTTTCATGGCATGGCAAACAACATAAAACAACAAAAACAAATAATGATGGTTCTCCTCCTCATGATGATGGTGATGATGATGGTGATGTCTCTTCCATAGAGAGGAGCAGGAACGTTTACGTGGCTACTTCCGCCTATCTAACAAACGTTTGCCCCATAAATCCCATGCAAATGGCAATGGCTGCTTGGATGCCAATGGTCGTGGTGGTGGCGGAGGCGGCAGTCGAGGAGGACGCAATGGCCGCTCGGGTAATCCCAGTGACAATTCAATTGAAAAAGATGAAAATACCAATACCACCCAGGCCACCACATCTATCATCTTGAATGGTGAGCCCTATGTCAGTGGCCAGTGTGGCACTGGCAGTCCTGGCCAGAATATCTTGGGATCCACTGTTGAGGCGATGTCATCCCAAAAGCCGGAAAACATTAAAACATTAGCCAACGGAAAATATCAACATCAAAATTCTCTCAACAAAGATGCGATGGCACCACAGCTAACCGCCCGAATACCACCACCACGGCAACGCAACAAAGACGGCGGCAAATCCTTAAAGCATTCCGATGCCACTTTCGGTAATGACAGCAATAATGCTGTTCATGAAAATTCCAAGAAATATAAGCGCACCAAAGATGTTGTGGCCCAGCAGCAGCAACACTCCAGCGATGTTCGCATCAATGTTATTTCGGATGGCAAGGCAAAGACGGCGGCCAGTAGGAGGGGTGGTTCAATAGTGAGTGCCCAAAGTAACGGCCCCTCGACTGGATTGGGAGGTCAACGCAAATTGACTTTGGAATCCTTGGATAATCGTTCGTGCTCCAACATCACAGCTTCGACATATTGCAATGGCAACAGCAGCCTGGGCGATGATGGCGATGTCAGCAGCTTTGGCGATGGGGATGGTGATTCTTCGATTGTCAGTGGCATGATTGTCCAGGGTTCCTCGAATGGCAGCAGCAATGCCCTGCCCCCGTATTATGACAAAAAACCCAGCGGAATGTCCCTTTACTCCTCCATCATGGGTGGTATGCGCACCCGAGATATGTCTTTTGACGATGGCAGCTCAACATTCTCGCGCATCGATTCGTCCAGCACCCTGGCTCGTGAAATGGAAATAATTGATATGTTGGAACGTGAGCGCTCCAGCATTGATATGCAGGAGTTGCTGCAGCGTGACAGTCACAATGAATCACAAAAGCGTCGGGATGGTGAGCGACGACGTCTACCGGATATTGGCAAGATTTGTCCAAGGTCACCCAAACCGAAACGTGACTCGTATTCATATGAAAAATCCAACAACACTTCCATTACCTCGCTGTCGGCCAAGGTGCCCACCTCCACAGATCCCCTGCGTACCAACAACGATGGCTATAGCCTTTCGTCCGGTCTGAATGAGGATGATGGGGACAGCTCCCACATGCTACCCTATGATGATGAACACTTGCGCTCAACCAAATCTTCACAACGCTGTAGCATTGATGAAGAGGTACCCTCGGATTTCTTTGACAGCTACACGCCCGGCGATACCACAGCCATTTTGCCCAGCTCAGCGCCGGCCGTTAGTGGTGCGGTCCAGTATCAGTACTCTCGGCGTTTAAGTCGAAAATCCTCCTCCCATCACAATCCCGGCTCGGCCACTTCACATCGCATGTCGAAGCGTGACAGTTTCAACTCCTTGCACAGTAATGACCTCATAGCTGGGGCCTTTGGTGAATTGGATCCCACCCAGCCGCTGACCAAAATGTCTGTGATTGAAAATCGTATGGTACGTAGAAGTGGCAGCAGTGGAAGGACCTCATCGTTTTCTTCATCGGCTCGCAGTTCAATGAAATCGCGAGATTATGGGCATGGCTCCTCGTCACATTCCACACATCCGGAATTGGATTTCAGGGAGAACTTTTTGGCCGATTTGTAAAGAGGTAGAAGGTGATCGGGAAAAACAACAACGAAAATCCACAACGTTCCAGGTCAAGAGAAGATGAGAAGAGAAGGGGAGGTTTAAAGTGCTGCGGTGACCAAAAGTTAGTTAGTTTTTGTTCTTGGCGGCAGTGGTGAGTGCAACGTTCGGCTGTATGACGATATCACAGAGGTAATGTTTAAGATACAACCAATTTATTTGTTTATTCGAGAGTGAGAAAGATTTTTTGGTTCAAGAGAACATTTTGTGAAAATCAGATGAATTAGAATAAAATGGTGCTTTAGCTTGAAGGAATGAATTCTCTTCGTGAGTAAAAGAGAACAATTTTGTTACAAACTTAAACTTAAGGTATAGGTATAAGAGTAAGTGAAATGATTTAGCATAAGGTTAGAATTGATGGAGATTTATAATTTTTTCAAGATTTTTTTCTCGTTTGTGATATGATTCAATAAATTAGAAAAATTGGCATTTTTTATATATTAAAAAAAAAAAAACAAGTAAAAACGCAGCTAAGTTCGGTCGGTGAACCCTTCACCATTTTGAAGAAAAAATGTCCAAAAAATTCGGTCGAGAAATACCGCTCGAACGTAGTACCCATTACGATCTTTAAATATAAAATTGGAAAGAATTCCCGTACAAATGTCGCTAATATCATCAAAATACCGAATAAATGGAGGTGCATTTATATGTGGGCTATATGAAGACGTTGATATGGACATAGACAATTTTCTGTCATGGGCATGGGTACTACAGCCCATGACGGAAAATTGTCTATGTTAATATCCACGTCTTCATATAGCCCACATAAAAATGCACGAACGAACCTTAAATACGAAATATGAAATATCTCCGGTCAAAAATTTTGCTAAAATCATGAAAATACCGAACATCGGGATGTACCGTTATATTGGGCATATACGATATCGTGGACCTATTTCTTTTCAGTGGGTAAAGTACTCAGAAGCAAGTCCTTGTGTAAAATTTCAAATAATTCCATTAAAATGTGGCTAAAATCATCAAAATACGGAAAATCGTATGGTACCGGTATATGGGGGCTATACGATATCGTGGCAAGATATAGCCCATCTTGGAACTTGAACTGCCTGCAGACAAAAGACTGATCGTTGCAAAATTTTAGCTTCCTATATTAACTCGTTGTGACTCTAACGTGATTACAACAGACTGACCAACGGACAGAGCTAAATCGCTGATTAATAATATACAGGGTGAGATAAAAAAACGCAATAATTTTCACTTTTTTTAAATTTTATTGAATGTCGGAAATAGCATCAAATTATAGAATAAGTTTACATTTGTTCGAATTAGTCACCTTTGACACGAATTATGGCCTTCAATGTTGCTCTGCGGTATTTTGGCCCATTCCCGGAGAAGCGCCTGCTTGAGGTGATCTACACTTTGGTATTTTTTAGTGCCAACCTTGCTTTCCAAAAGCAAGGAGATTTTGGTGGCCATTGTGTGCTGGAAATGAAACGAGGAACCTCATTTTGTAACCATTCTTGGGTGGAGCGTGCTGAGTGCGATGGTGCTGAGTCCTGTTGGAATGTCCAAGGTCTGCGTCCAATCTGTTTGCGTGTCCAAGGCTTTGATACACCCTCCAGAATATTTTCTCTATAATATTCGGCATTTAATCTGATACCACGGTCGATTAATACGAGCGGAGAGCGACCATCGGCTGTTATGGTGGCCCACACCATCACCATGGCCGGTGCTTGAGTTCTGGTGGCCAACCGAAGGTGTACATTTTCAGCTGACCTCACTGGCAAGTAAACACGTTAATTTGAGTCTATTTGACATTTTGGATCCTAATTGAATATAAAAAATATTCGTAGTTGGCTAAAAATGTTGTATTTTCTACATAAAAATTCTAATATTCCATTCCCGCTGGGCTCTTGTTTTGTCCTAACATTTATTCTCACGCAGAATTACGTTCCGATTGGTCTATAATTATAACCTATAGAGCGACTGCAAAATCAGCAAAAAATCAGTTTTTGGTCCATTTCACCCCTATGTATTTCCCTTCACCTCTTTGCGATCATCTCCCCCATCAACATATTTCTATTATATTAAACCTAACTCATGAGGATCTGATCATAATTGCGACCTTTACTGTGTTTACAAATGGATATGGACAGACTGACGATTACACATGGCTTGTGCCATCCGAGTAACGTTATATTCCAAAAAGGTGTAGCCACAAGACATTAAGAAATGCTTGTCTCAATAAACGATCTTGGATTTCTTACTTTTAAATTCCACAGGGACAATTCTACAATTCTACCAAACGGCCTTCTCAAGCACAAGACTGCTAAATAACGATACACGATGTTTAATAAAAAATATCCGACGCGCCTCTTCGTGACTGAGACATTGACTCAAAAGTTACATGGTCTATCTTCTTTTGCGTCTCTGCTCTGCGTACAATTTATTAACCTCTAATTTCAGATCCCAGAGTTGGCCATTAAAAAGATCAGGTGATTCTTTCTTGTTCTAGGAGATATTTTTTTTTTTTTTGATATTTTGACCTCTTGTGGGTAAAATACCTGAAGAAGGTATAGGGGGATATAACCCATCTAAAACCTCGATCTAAATTTGATAATAATATTACGATATTTCAAGTTTAGATAAAATCGGATATTCGCTTCGAGAGTTATCGTGTGTACCAACCAGAGAGACAGACGAATGAAAATACGCTGCTAGATCGATTCCACATATTTTGAATTAAGCTCGTTTTAGCCGCATCCCATATTATATGACCTCTGTAGCCATATGGCTAAGGGCATAAAAAACTACGTCATTTCTTCCCGGAAATTTGAAAAGCCAGGAAACCTCTATGTTCCTCCATAGCGTCTTTTCCGTTTTAACTTCGTATTTTAGGGGTCTTAGTAACATATACAGAAAAATATCACCTGAACCCAAGACTATTACTTCTTCTATAATAAATTTCTACTGTTCCTTCTTTCTACAATATTTCCAATATTTTCTCAGCATTCCTCTTGCAGGGTGGTCAAATTTAGTTTTTATACCCTACAACACTATGTGTTGGGGGTATTATAAGTTTGATTGGGCCAGAATTTATGTAACACCACGAAATATTGGTTTCCCATATAGGAAAGTATATATGGATCTTCCTAGCTCGCCGAGCTGAGTCGATCTAGCTATGTATGTCCGTCCGTCCGTCTGTCCGTCTGTCCATGTTAATTTGTAATCACGCTACAGGTCGCAATTATGGCCCGATCCTAACGAAATTTTGCACGAAGGTGGGGTTAGGGTCAGAATAGAAGCCTATTTCTTTTGGAGATGATCGCCAAGTGTTTAGGTGTTGAAATGGACCAAATACTGAAATAATGTCGGATTTTGCAGTAGCTATACAGGTCGCAATTATAGACCAATCGACGGAATTTCGCATGTAGCTAGAGTTTAGGGCGGGGAAGCAGCCTACCAATTCAGGTGGTCATCGGATAATATTTAGCGGGAAAAATAGACCATATCTTTTGTGTTGAAAAAAATCAAAATTTTTCATTAAACCGCGAATATTTTAAATCCCGGCGAAATCACAAAGCCATGACAAGGTTACTTCTGATCTTTACATTGATGTTAACATCCAACAAATCGGATATATAGCAAAATATGTGCGATATATATGTCTATCAAAGAAGATATGCTTGAAAGATCCCTTATATGTCGAGAACGGCTGAACTGATTTCGACAGTTCTCATTAATTCAGAAGGGCCTCTAGGCAGGAAAGAAAAAAATCGCACAAAAATATCTCTCTAAGGATGAAAATTTTGATTTTGTAACATTTTCTCATATTTTTTTAATTTTGTCATATTTTTGTATATTTTCATTTTGAATTAAACATTTGGTAATATTTCTACAGCTAACAAAACTAAGCAGTTAGGATATCCTGATATATGATATACAGATCGCTTTTATGGCCCGATCCTTACGAAATTTTGCATGGGGATAAGATGAGGGTCAGAATAGAAGCCTATTCTTTTTGGAGATGATCGCCATATATTTAGGGGTTGAAATGGACCAAAAACTGCAAAATTGTCGGCAGGTCGTAATTACCGCCCGATCCTCACGCACATTTGAATGGGGGTTACCGAACATTGCAAAAGCCAAGCAGTTTTGGATGGCCATCCAAAAATATTCAATGTATGAAATAGTTTGCCAACTTTTGTAGACAAAGTACGAAAATGTCCATTCCAGTGACTTTTTGGAGAATTCACAAATGCAGGAAAGACGCACTTCTGACTATTTCGTTAACGCTGATTTCGTTGAAGAATAAAGTCAAATGTCTGTACCTCATATAGATGCGTTTCAGTCAAAAACCAACAATAAATGTTAATCTTTTGCCACTTCTGAGATATTATAGGTCTTTGGGAAATATTGGTTCCAGATCTAGGAAGACCATTTACGTGCAACATCTACCAATAAATTATTTGAAAATTAGAGAACGAAACCTGATGGTTTTCTTTTATTATTTGTCACAATATCTTGTGAAATTCTTTCGAGTATCTCGCCTATATAAACTGTATCGTTTATTATAGTGTTGTAGGGTATTCAATGGTCGGCCCCGCTCGACTGTAGCCTTTGCTTACTTGTTTTTATTAAGGGACATATTTTCTGTTGAAAAATATGTATGTGTCCTATTCTAGGTACACAGGATGATTCATTTATTGGTATTCACCTCACTTAAATGACTTTTCCGATCTATTGAATCATATCATTAACAGTTTTATTATTTTAGTTTTCAGTCTAGGACTTTTCATATTTTTTTTTTTTTAAGTATTAATATACTTTTTCTAATATATAATATTCTATGGGAATGAAAATGTATAATAATCAATAAAATATTTAAAGAATCAAATTATAAACGGGTTAGACAATGAATTTAAACATAGCACAGATAAAATAAAGTTAGCAATTGAGTGGCTTTCCTCAAAAGAGGAAATTGTATTTTTAAGGAAACAATTTGATAAAAAATAATAACGCTATAGGCAAAGAACGATGTACAGTGGTTCGAAATTACAAAAAAAAAAAAAAAAATAAAATAAAAAAAATGGAAATCTAATTTTCAAAATTATTTGCTCGGAATGACCATTATTTGCACATTTTTAATATGTACTAGTGGTAAATATAGAAATAAAATACGAAGATATATATGTACCCATCCTTCAAAGAATCAGAATACTTGACGAGAGTAATGTTGGAGTGATTAAAAACTTGGAAGAAAATTTTTTTAAAATTCCATTCGAAAATCGTATTTATTACCAGAAAAGTTTATCATAAGATTTCTAAAAAAATACAATTAATTTTTCTTGTATTCCGAATCAC